CTACGTCTCAAGACTATGGTTGGTACAGTGGAAAAACACTGGATGCTGTGTCTGAAGACACTGATTCAAGTCCCGTCATGGCCACCTGAGTACAAAAAGTGCCACGAACAAGGTTCTATGGGCACATGGTAGGCCCAGAGGATTTCCCTGTGCCTTTCCTAATAACTGGTTTTCCAGCCTCACCTGTTACGAGGCAACATCATCAATTAAGTTATAAAATATGTACCTAACATCAAAATCAGACATAGATTAAGCTGTAACACCAAATGAATTACTGAATAAATCAGGGCCATTTCGGGATATGAGGATGGCGTCCGGTTTTATTCAGTTAATCATTACTGATTTACTAAGTTCACCTGCTATATTTCGGGCACTAACAATACAAATGCAAAGATGAAGACAAACCAATCCCCGCCCTTAGGGTGCAGAAAGTTCTAAGCAAAATCAGAGTCCAAAACATAGGTAATTCATAATTAAGGAAGAAGCAAATTTTTATATTCCATTGCTAAAGTGGTAATGGTAATCGCTAATAATAATAAACACTAATATTTATTAAACTCTTGCAGTATGCCAGATATTGTTCTAAGAGTCATTTGAAAATGCTATTACTTAATGCTCATGGTTGGTGTAAGCCTGACTCTGCTATCACCCCCACTTTACACATGAAAGTCTATGTGAACTGCCTGTCTGTAACCAAGCTGGGATGAAATTTTCAGTGAGGAGTTAGTGAAGCATTAGGCCCAAAGTCCCACCATCTAGAGTTTGTTTTCTCCGTGTATATCCTGCCTTTGCACACATTAGTAACAAACCATCTTTTGGCATGGCTATTCCACAAGATCCACCTAGTTTCATACTCTGTATCTTCAATTTTATTAAGCCCGAATTAGACCTAAGTTAAATGTTGGTATCAAGTTACTGAAACCTTTACCAAACTGGATCAAAATGTTACATATTTCAAAACTGTTCATGAAACAAACATAAAACACCAGGTAACTACACACAGTATGACCAGCCTGTATTTATCTGGGTCATCCTACTTACCTGGGACCATGGACGGAAATGTATTTCTGGCAAAATGCTAATGGATTACAAATTCTCACCTTCAAGTACCAAAACGATGCAACCCTTTCTTTTAGAATGGGAGTCAAGGCATGCTTTTGAACTTTTGTGAACTCCTATGAAACTCAGTAATATTACAGATGCTTTTCTTTTTCCTAATAGGCTCTTGTTTTCTCAGAGGACAGACTCCACAGGAGGAATAAAGGAGCAACATATTGTATACATGATTGATCGCGTTAAAAAAAAAAAAAAAAAGTTACTAAAATGCCAGAGGGAGCAATTCAGAAAGAAAGAGAAACAGAAAGTAGTCAATTTCTGGGTTAGGCAGTGCATTTTACTTTATAAATAGGAGTCTAACTTGGAAAAGGATGCCCCTAAGAGGCAGAACGAGTCTGTTCTCTTTTTCTAGGCTCCCCAAAGCACAGTCTACAATCCAAAGATACTTGTGTCATGATTTAGTCACAAAACACACACCACTGTGATGAGTATTTACTTAACACACAGCAGATGAGCAAATACATATACCTGGCAACTAGTATCTTACAAAATATTTGCTCTTATTTCTTCTCTTCTTTCAATAGTATTTGTGTTTGTTACATACCAAAACATGTATATATTATATGAAACATATATAAGGAACACTGAATTTACCATTGTAAGTGAAACAGACAATGTTTAATTTAAAACTGATTGTGATCACGGTAAACACTATGTTTCACTGGACAGATGGAATCATAAGAAATACAAATTCTGAAAAATCGCTTATTTTATTTTACTCACTAATTTATGTAGTGCTCACTACCTGAAACTCAGATCATGAAGTAAAGAGGTTTCTTTTCAGTAGAAGTTCACAACTGGCTGTGAGGAAATTCCAAAAGTATTCCCCCAAACTATTGATACTAATGCTTGGAGACAATGCACCATGCTGAACTCCGTGCAGAGGACTATATGTTAGAACGATATGCCATTTTGATGATATAGACAGAATTGCCACACGAACTGAATTCCACGACCAGATTCTGCCAAGCTCCAACCACGCCACCCAGGCGCCCCTGTTCCAGCATGTTTTTAAAAAACTCAATCTCGCTGCTTTAGAGTCGCAACACATTCTTTTGAGCATATTTGATTCAAAATGTCTATCCTTAGCCGCTCATTAGGGGCATCACCATATTATCAATCTTCCTTTAACATTTGAAGGTCTTGGGAAGCCTGGTGGCTCAGTGGTTGAGCAACCAACTCTTGATTTCGGCTCAGGTCATGATCCCAGGGTTGTGGAATCGAGCCTCAAGACGGGCTCCAGGCTGGGCACGAAGCCTGTTTTTAAGATTCTCTCCCTCTCCCTCTGACCCTCTCTTGCTCACATGTGCACACGTGCACACACTCACTCGCTCTCGAAAAAAAATTTTTTTGAAGGCCTTCAAAACTGACTTTAAGAGAGAAAAATGAATGTATCCCCTCACTGTGTCAGAAAGCTCTAACCAAGTTTACACTATGTGCCAAGCACTGCAGTGGGCTCTACACAGAAACACAACAGAAAGTAATGCAGGACCTGAGCAGATGAGTGGCGAGCAGGGGACCCCAGAAAGGTTTCCTGGAGAGAGCGCAGATGGAACAGAGTGCGCGTGTTCAGCTTGAATTTCGTGAGCTCCACAGGCCCCCGCTGACACCAGCACTCAACAGAGTGGACAGAAATTATTTCTGTGGACAGAAATAATCCAAATACTCAGCAGTGAGGGAATCATTAAATAAACCACTGGAGCTTGAATATGGTGGAATAGCACGCCCGACACTTTAAAAATCTGAGGTAGAAAAATGGTATGTCCTCACATGCACAACTCTACAAAATATATACCTAAGAGGAAAAAGCAAACCATTCATAAAACTGCCTAATGTAAGTAATTTTTTTCTGGTTTTAACTTTTTATTGTGAGAATTTTAAAGACACAAAATTAGAGAGAACAGGATAATAAACTCTTATGTACCAATCTTTAACATTTATCAGCTTATGGTCAATTCTGTTTCTTCTTTTTATCCCTACCTCAATTATTTTGGAGAAAATCCCATACACAATATTATTTATATTAGTTTATATTATATCATAGCATACTATTGTATGTTAGGATATATCTTTTAAAGATCTTTAAAAATATCATCATAAAATATGGGTAAATTTTAAAATTTATTATAAATGTGGGTATACGCCTGAAGTGCTTTCTGAAAGGAAATACTTAAAACAAAAAGATGGTGGCCATCACTGGAGAAAGGGTCTAGAGTGAGGAAACGTGGAGACTTTACTGTTCATTTAATACCATTAACACTTAACATTTGCCTACAACAGAAAGTGCCGTGCCTGGAAGAGCACCGAAAGGCCGCCGAGGCGGGAGGAAGTCCATGAGGCCTTACTGGCGCCACTGAAAACAGGAAGTGGAGTTTGGATAGGAGATACTCAAGGAGTCCATTATGTAGATTCAAACACTAGCAGGTGACAGTGTCTATCAGCGATAGTATATGAATCCTCTCAATGGGTAAAAAGTAATAGCTGTGAACTCAGTAACATTACCAGACATAATTATGCTTCCAGTAATGTGCAGGTCCAGACATTCAGGAGACGAAATGGACTCATCTCAACCTCCCTACTGCCATATCCAGCTACAGCAGGCTCATGAAATCCATCATTTAAAGCACTGCAATTTTAAAGGGCACTTTAAAAACACTTTTTTTTAAAACAAGTTAATGTCTTCACTGTCTCCTTCTCTTTTCCTTATCTACAGTCCTTGTAATTTCTGTGCCTTATAGGTTGCAAAAATGTTATTTCCTTCCGTGGTGGCACTATCTGTTATATTTACAGCACGTTAAGGTAATCTTGGAACCCACTAGGATAGTTGCCGGGCTGCAGGGTTATGTTAGAGAAATAAGCCTTTGTGAGTGCTTATTTATATTGAATTTAGCTCCAACAAAGTGCTCCACGTGTTGTTGTTGTTTTTAATGTTTTATTTATTTTTGAGAGAGAGTGTGCGAGCAGGGCAGGGGCAGAGAGAGAGAGGGAACAGAGGATCCGTGCTGACAGCAGAGAGCCTGAGTGGGGCTTGAACTCATGAACCATGAGCTCACGGCCTAAGCCAAAGTCAGGTGCTTAATCAACTGAGAGCCTCCAGATGCTCCACATGTTTTAATCTTAAAATCAGTGTAATGGGGAAGCTATAAGAAGATGATGGAAAGTAGCTGGCTTTTAGAACCCTGTTCATTTCTGTCCCAATTGTGACTCTCTGACAAACCCTAAGATGTTACAGATACAGACAAAAGTCAAGAAAGACTGGTCTCAATTAGACTAGTTCAAATCCAGAACTTCTGAATATCTAAAAACAACAGCAACAAACAACAACACCTTCTTACTTTAAAACATCACATGAACAAGGCTAATAAAATATTTCCCAGTAAAGGTCAAAGGGAAATGTCTATAATGAATAGGCTTTTAAATTTTTTAAACTTCTAACTTTTCATTAGTTCGAGCTTAAATAAGTTCCAAGAACTTTAAAATAGTTGGTTTTTATAATCAGGTTATACGCTGTCCCCTGCAACTGCATTTCTTTTATTATTTTGCTTAACAAAACCCAGCATTTCTAGACAGCACATAGAAATAGTTCATCTACGCACAGGCGGTATGATTTCTAAACAGATGATGTTTTACTATGCTTAACACCAAGGACCCATTTCTCTTACAAAAATGCTTACCAGGTCAAACAACTTACGTAAGAACTGAAATGAAACCATTGAGAAATCTAGCAATATTTTGCACACCAACTGCCTGATTTTACCCCAAGAGGCTGATGTTCTTTTCTGCCCGCAAATGACTTTTCTCGGTCTGACTAGAGATTAATTCCATCAACAACTGAAAACACCAAAAGAAAGTGTCACCACAGCCTGTACCCTTCCCGGCGGTACCTGTTTCATCCGGGGAACTGGGTGAGGCACTGTCTTGGGACAGTGTCGTCCAGCTGGACTCCTCATCGCTCGGTGCCAGGTTCTGGATCCGGTGCAGGGCGCAGTCGGTTTTGGCCCCCGTTTTGGGATGATCTTTCTTGGTCTCTGGGCTGGATGACACGGTGGCCACTTGACCGTCTTCGGGGCTGAACTGGGCTTTGTTTGGTTTCTGTGGGAGTGCTTCACCATTCCCGATGACGGTGGAGGCCTGGTCCTGGCCCGGCTGGGGCTTCTCTTCCACACCCCCGTGCTCGTTGCCTAAGTTCTGCTCTAATTCTCTGGTTGAGGTTTCCAGGTCTGCATAGTAATTTAGGAAGCTCTTGGTTCTCCTGGGTTGGGAGGGTAAAATTTCACAGCCTGAGGAATCGCGTGGGTGGGGCTCTTTGCCCTCTAACTTCTCAGAAGTTATGTTGATGACTGCAGTGGGGCTGACATTTTTGTTGGGGTCCTGCTGCCCTTGTTCTGCAGCCTTCCGGAGCTGGTTCTCACCATTTTTCACCAGCTTGATGTTGGCAGAACCGTTTCCCAGCAGAGGCTGTGCAGCTGGGTCGGAGAGGCCCATTGCCACCTGGATGTTAGTTAGTGCATATTTTTTCCTGCATTTGGGGGGTGTGCTGTTCTTGGTTTCCGTGTGTTTTATTTCAGCATTCAACAGTTCATTGTGGGAGGAACGGAGATTAAGGGTATTTGGTGGTGTGGCTGGACTGTTCCGATTCGTGATGTCTGTGGTTCCGCTGCTGGCCATAAACACTGCCAAAGTGTCTACACCTGAGTCAGCTGGAAAAGAAGAAAACTAGTCATTAGCTGCCTGGCAGGATTAAACTGCTTAGCATACAGAGTGAGCAGACATTTTTATATAAAAAATTGAAAGAATTAATGCTTCCAATTGCATACCTCCTTATAGAATTGACTCTCATTTTCCTCTTTATTTTCACTGTTCACTCATATATTAAATAGGAACAAATAAAAGCCTTAATGTAGACACACGAAATCCAATTTATAGAAAAGCTGAGAGGTCAGAGGGTCCAAATTTTACTTAGAATCTCCCTCTTGAATTCATATAAAAGCATTTTCTGCTGGTGACTGGTCTTCATTTTTCGCAACCTTAAAAATCACGCCCTTCTAAACATTTACACCGCATTTCTATTCTGCAGTTCCTTTGGGCAACAACAACAAAAAAAGTTGCTGAAAAATCCTCTGGGGCTCCAGCTTTCTTAGTTAACCTGAAAGGTTACCGTTCAATGATGTACCCATACATCTAAGGTAATTTTTCTCAACCATGTTTAGAAATTGTGTTCTGGATGCCTGGAAAAAATCAAATCTCCGTTGTAGTTTGCTAATATCTTTGTGAATATTTTTGACCTGGGCTTAGTGTTTGTACTAAACAGAAATTTTGGAGAAATGGCCCAGTTGCTAGAGAATGTACACACACATAAAACTATTACTAATAAGGTAGCATTGAGCCCTTGGGTACTGATACGTTAGAGCTCCCAAAGGAGTCTGAATATATTCCACTGAATTAAAACACAGACTCAGCTGTTTGCAGTCACCATGTGCCCTTGCAGGACTCCTAGGAAACTACCTGACAGTTGCATTTATCTCAAATATTGTTCATACCATCTGTGATTTATTCCATGTGTCTCTTGCTAGGAAGAAAGAAAGGTTTCTCAGACTGGAAGGGAATAAAATTCATCATCAAGAATTCCTAAGGTTTCACGTTTCTCAGTCTATGAAGAATGACTCCCTTCTTATCTGATCCTTTGTCCTCCACAGAGACCTCAGTGACTTTACACCAGCAGATGAACAAAAGCAACAGCTCTGGTTCATGGGGTTACAGAAAGTTTTTGTTTTTTATAGATTCTTAGTGATGTTTTATTGCTTATAAGCTAGAAACACAGAGGCCAGCCGAGAAGGGAAAAGTGGAAACACAGAAGAGGAACAGACGAAAAAGACAGAATCCAGGTGACAAGAGGAAGGACCACAGCGGATGTGAGAGTCAGCCTTGGCCAAGACAAGGGACACTTCTTCACATGAGAAGGAAGGAAAGGGAGTAAGGATGGGGACAGGCCTATATACTATTGCAGTGACATAAAACCGAGGAAAAGCAAAACTGACAGCCTCAATTTTCTCTGTGAAAGTAAAGTCTTCCCCTGAGGGGAAGCAGGGTAGGGGAACATAAGGAGAGGAACAGAGTCCAGAAAAGTCATGTGGGAGAAACACAGAGTTGGTGACTTTCTAAAAGAAATTTGAGGTTTGATGGCATAAGAACAGACACACAGATCAATGGAACAGACCAGAGAGCCCAGAAATAAACCCATGCATCTATGGTCAATTAACTTATGACAAAGGAGCCAAGAAAAAGCAATTGGGAAAGGACAGTCTCTTCAATACAATGGTGTTGGGAAAACTGGACGGCCACATGCAAAAGAATGAACCTGGACCATGACCTTATCCCATACACAAACATTAACTCAAACTGGATTAAAGACTTGAACCTAAAACCATAAAACTCCTAGAAGAAAACAGGCAGTAAGCTCCTTGACATGGGTCTTGGCAATGGTTTTTTTGGATTTGACACCAAAAGTGAAGCAACAAAAACAAAAATAAACAAGTAGGACATCAACCCCCAAATCTTCTGCACAACAAAGGAAACCATCAACAAAATGAAAAGGCAACCTAGAGAATGGGAGGGAAAAACAAAGAAACAGTCACAGGGGGGATGTGATCAAGGTGGCAGGAGTGGGGAAGTGAGCAGATGAGGAATGCTCTCTGGGTGTGGCCCAGAGAGGGCAGGGAATAGAGTTGGGAAGAGGGTGGAGAGCTGGGAGGAAATGGCGGAGGAATCAGAGATCTCCAAAAGGTCAGGGAACAGGAGTCACAGGAACAAGGAAATGTTCTCAACCCCAGCCGCACACAACCCTTGGGGAGCTTTTAAAACATACAGAAGGCTAGGGGCACTTGGGTGGCTCAGTTGGTTGAGCATCTGACTCTGGAGTTCTTCTCAGGTCATGATCTCACAGTTCATGGGATCGAGCTCTGCATGAGGCTCTGCACTGACAGCGTAGAGCCTGCTCGGGATTCTTTCTCCCTCTCTCCCTGCCCCTCCCCCAGTCTTGTGCTCACGTGTGTGTGCAACTCTCACCTCTCTCTCACACAATAAATAAACAAACAAACAAACAAACAAACTTTGTTAAAAAAAGACTAAGCCCACCCCTAAAGACACCCTCAAAGGCCGTGATTCAATCAGTCTGGGAATGGGCACAGTGGGGATAATAAAATGTTCTCTGGGTGACTCCAATGTATGGCCAAGGCTTAGAACCACTGGAACAAGGAAGTGAGAGACTTGGAAGAAAAAGATGACATATATCCAAGCTAATGATTTCAGAGGCACTTGAAACACTCTGGTCACGCCCGCCACGTTCCTTGTCCTTGCACACATTCTCGGCATCCTTCCCTCCTGTCTGGAAAAATTCTACTTTACCTTTAAGATTCAAGGTAGCTATCACCTATTTGTGAAGCATCTTCTTGCTCCTCCAGGCAGATTCAAGGGCTCCTTCTCCTACACTCCCAAACCCTCATCAACTTGTCTCTATATAGCATCATCCACCCTGCTTTAGACTTCCAGCAAGCAGAACAGCAGTGTAGTACACAGTAGGTACTCATTAGAAGTTTATGGAATCATCGAATAAAATGAAAAAAACAAAAAAACCCCAAAAAACAACCAAGTGTTTTGTTAACATCTCAAGAAATGTTTACATTAGAAGCCTATCTTTACTCAAGCTTTTATCCCATGTAACAGCTAAGCATGATTTAAAATAAAATCTTTTAGGGGCACCTGGGCAGCTCCGTCACTTGAGTCCAACTCTTGATTTCAGCTCAGGTCATGATCTCACAGTTGGTGAGATCAAGCCCCGTGTCGGGCTCTGTGCTGACAGTGCAGAGCCTGCTTGGGATTCTGTCTCCCTCTCTCTGACCCTCCCCTGCTCACTCCCTATCTCGCTCTCAAAATAAATGAATGAATAAATGAATGAATGAATCTTAAAATAAAATATTTCAATATTCTATCCAGACCAACTTATTTTGCTCCTCAGTCTTGGCTCAAGAAAATTCGTGCTCAATTCTGCTGTAACTCTCTAAAGAAGAAAAGGCTATTTAGAGTCAAAAGTCTGTTTTGTGACCCAGAACAGACTGGTATACTTCTCTGCCAGACATGATTTCTCATCAGCTGTCATCCTACTAGCTCAAAGTTGTACGTGCTTTGGTCTGAACAGCATTCAGGCCCAGCTGAGGCTCTCGTGCACACAGCACAGCGCTCCGGTCACCACTGTGACCCCCGCTACCTATTTCCGGGCCTTCCTCTGTTTCCTCTCTTCCTCGTATTTACCACCTGCATCAGTAGTAACAATGAACAGAAGAGAATCACGTATGATGGGAAACAGCAACACGATAGTAATATAAATGTTAAAAATTATGGAGAAATACTAGCTCTCTGTGGATATAAACGTGAAAAGATGACTATGTTCCTCTTCCATCCTAGGACCACTCTCTCACACCTACCTTTTGCTCCATCTGTTCTACATGTAGGACATTTTAGCCTGCTTTCCCCGATACTAATACTATATTGAGACTCAAAAGTCAGTGCCATTCAAGGCACTTCCATTTATCTTTGCCTGATTTTACTATAGATTCGAGATCAAAAACTAAGTTGTCTAATATTCCCTTTAATTTGGGGGGGGGGGGGGGGGGGGTGGTGTGTGGACGGAGTTAAATCCACCAACACATGGGCTAGGCCCTAAGTGAGGATTCAAGACATTGCTACTCCACATTTTCCAGACTGGAAACACTGAAACAGCCCTCCATGAGTTTCTTACCTACTGAATTCTGCCCATTTTCCTGGAAGTGTTTCTCCAGGAAATCGGGTTTCCCCTTCCCACCTCCTCCACACCTGCTTTCAGGCCCTCATCATCACTTATCGGTTCCTTCTAAATCTCTAAGCATAACGGCTCTGCAGTCTACTCGGACACATTTTGCCCTGTATCATTCTAAGAACAAACTGATCACATAGCCCTCCTGCTTAAAAACATCTACTGGCTCCCTATGGTCAAATTCAGCTCACTCTACACAAGCCACCTCAAATTCTCCTACGCTGGTCTCAAATCTGCCCTTCCAGTCCCATCTCTTGCCACCGCACCTCCCCCGTTTTCTACACCACAGCCACCATCTACCTTCCTGACAATGCCAACCCCTTCTCAAGTTCCCCCTCTGCACAGAGTCTGTTTCCTCTGCCCTGGAATGTTCTTTGTCCTCCTCTCTCCCAGCCCCACCCTAGACCCCCGCCTGAAAGCTCCTTTATAAATCCTTCAAAACACGGCTCCTTTAGCCTTTCTCTGATTCCTATGCACAATGATGGCTGCCCTCCCTCTGTGCTAGCAATGTAACAGGCTGTTCGTATCAGTACTCCTATTCTATACTGTAAATGTCAACTGAGATGTCTATCTCTCCTTCTAAACTGTAAGTTCCCTGAGGGTGGTGACTGTTTTGTTCATTTTTTAGGATAGTTTTATTGAGATATAATTTACATGTCACAAAGCTCACTTTTAATGTACAATTCAGGGGTGTTTAGCAAATTCACAGAGTTGTACATACATCACTACAATCTAATGGCAGAATTCTGTTATCAGCCCAAAAAGAAACCCTCCACTCAGCAGTCACCCTCTATTTCTCCCCGCCCCCCCCGACCCCCTCCCAGGCCCCAGCCCCTGGCAACCACTAACTCTACTTTCTGTCCTTATAGCCTTGCCTCTTCTAGACAGTTCACATAAACAGAATATGACACGTGGTCTTTTGTGACTGGCTTTCCTCACTTAGCGTGTCGGGGTTCATCCATGTTGTAGTATGTATCACTGCTTTATTCCTTTTTATGGCCAAATCATAATCCATTGTATCAACAGACCACATTTCATTTATCTATTTACCAGTTAACGAACATTTGGGTTGTTTCTACATTTTAGCTATTACAAATAATGCTGCTACAAACATTCATGTGCAAGCTTTTGTGTGAACATATGTTTTTAATTCTTCTGGGTGTACATTC